TTATTTTTGATCATATGCTATCCTAAATGAACTAATCTAAAAAAATGATATATACAAGAACAAAAAAAGAATTTTTATTTTTTGTTGCAAAAAAACACTTTAAAAAAAAAGAAGGAAATACTGCTAAACGACATAAATATCCCCGGTAGATTGCTTATTGTTAATTTAAAGCCGTGTTTTTTTTTTTTATGTAACAGCATTCTTTGCTGATTATATTTATCAGTTTTGAGCCTGGGTGAAAACTTCAATAAAAAAAAAAAAAACTGTGCTAAAAAAAATGAAAAAAAGCATTACTTAAAGTTTATGATTTTTTTCTTCCTCTCTTTTTACGCTAAGCTTCGTTCGTTAGCTGTGGGTTCCTCAAATTTCAAACAATAATTACACTTCTCTGTTCTTTTTCCTCCCTTTAAGCTTCCATCAACTGTAAAACGAACAATAATATATCTCACTGCCAACGCTCGTATACTCTTAATTTATTACCCGATAAACCATACTAACATAATTTTTATGGCCAAAAAAAAAACCCCAAGAAAAAAATGCATGTCTCATTCGATCGGTATTTCAGAATTGTTCATATATCACCAGTGAACGTGAACCATCTAAAGAAAAGTGATGATGAAAAATGAGTGCTATAACTGTAACCATTTTTACTTATTTTCCTTCAAAATCAAAAAATGTTTTTAATTTTTCCCTTACTTTATTGTTTTTCTTCTCTAAAGTTTTTGTGAATTGAAAAATAACAGCTTAAAATAGCGATGTTTAAAGTACTAACAGCTAGGGAAAGGAAAATTTTGCGCCCAGATATCATGGGTATATATCAGTCGTAAAAAAATCAAATTTAACCAGCGGTATTTGTGAAATAGTGTGCCAAAAAAAAACCTTAATTTTAGCACTTAATTTTGTTTTGCAATTAATAATAGCTATAATACCACCAAAAAACCATGTAACCAAAAGTGATAAATAATGATAGCAAAATTAAAATAAAATCATCGATTGGAAGCAAGTTTTGGATTTTTTGCCAACTATTTCAAATTTGCGAATTAACCTTTTTTTGGATAACGTACCACCTCAAAATGAATAAACAAAGTAGTATCAAAATTCATTGACTTTCAAGTCACAAAATTTTTTCCGTTCAAATTTTAAAGAAGAAGTAGTTTTCTTTTTATTACTTTTAAACTGAAAATAATTTTCCTTCACAGAAACCAAAAAATTTTTAATGGTATATTTCAAACATTTTTGGTTTTTACTACAAATACAATCATTTTACACTAATAAAAAACTGGAGAAAAAAATAATTCTTCTTTTTAGCAGCAATATTCAATTATTTTTTCATTCTCTCTACTGAAAACAAAAAAAAAAAAAAAACATTAATACGATTTGTATAGAAGAAAAATGTTGTTGAACTTTGGAGAATGTAGGTGCAAAATACCTTTTTAAATATTAAAATTGTGTAAACCAAAAAAGTGCTATTTTTTCTTCATCATCATCAGCATATAGATATCCAACAGTATCTTCTGCCAGTAAAACTAACCTTCTCTGAATCTTCTAGGCGAATAGTTCCAATGCCTAACATCAACCAAAAATAGATAAGTATTCAAAATACGGTTTGATTTTGCACAGACAATATAATCAGCTTGAATTTATAACGGATGATTAAATCAAAGTACTTTTGTTAAGGCAGCAACGACAGCAACAACAACAGAAGATAACTTAAAAGTCACCTAAATTTAATTGTCAAATTTAA